GTGCAGCCCGGCCGTCGCGGCGGCGCAGGCCGATCCCCCAGCTTTTCTCTCCCGCTGGCGCGGTCGGTTCGCCTCCGCCCATCCTGCAGCTTCTGTTTTCTGGGGCGCTTCCTCCGTCTCCCAGCTCCACCCTTAAAAAAAAAAAAAGTTTCTCTGCGACAGGCTTTCCTTGTGCCTTTCAGTTAGCCTCGAACTCCTGGCACTCCTCCTGCCTCAGCCTCTTGAGTGCTGGATGACAGGTGTGCACCACCATGCTCTGCCCAGAGGGGCGAGTCCAGGGGTCAGTACCTGCCTCGCAAGGCTGTACACAGTCACGAAGAATTCTTCAGGTGTGTTCCAAGACCAGTGCCCCGCTTTTTAAATGGGGCGACTCTGAACCGAAGCTGCCCACCAGAAGAGTGAGCCACGTTGCTGAGCATCATTGTGACCAAAGCCTTTCAAAGCGCGCTGGGGAGACAGCTCAGTAGAATAAGCGCCTACCTGGCAAGCACAAGGTCTAGTTCAATCCTTAGTACAAAAAAAAAAAAAAAATCTTGCAAAGCAAAGGCCACTGGGAAAACAGAGTTCAAAAGAGACTGTTGCAGACCACTGTGAACGCGGGTTCCACGCAGCTGCAGTGCAGCCGGGAGGCCCCAGAGCCTGCACTAGGTGAACCGAACCAGCCAAGCGCTGCACAAGTTCCGCCGTTTATTACACAGGCCACCCAGCGCCTCAGGGCCCCTGAAGCTAAATGTAGTCTGTGCTCTGACTCCAGCCCCAGTTCACCTCAGTTTTGCTCCTGATGACTAGCACCTGGGAATCACTGAACTATTCTTGGACAAACGAGCTAGTGATGCATGCCTGTCATCCTATCACTTGTGAGGCTGAGGCAGGAGGATCATTATGAGTTCATGACCAGCCTGGCCTTCATAGTGATGTTAAGGCCAGCCTAAGCTGCAGAGAGAGACCCTATCACACAAAAACGACAGAACAAAACATCTATCAACCTTGTGCCTCAATGTACAGTGGAACACTACTGCAGTAAAGTAGTAGTGCCAGCTCCTGCACCCTGGATAACGGTCTTTACTTATTTGGTACAGCGTCCCCCTGCAGCATGCATGTGATAACGGGGATTAAACCCAGGTTCTTAGGATTGGCAGGCAAGTGCTAAGACACTGAGCTATCTCCCCAGAGATAAGTCTTACGTATACGGTGAAGAATGGGAAGGGGCCTAATACCCACAGAAGGGTCAGCCGGGCCTCGCTCAGCCAGAGCTTTGCCTACTGTGCACAAGGCCTTGTGTTGATCCTGGCTCTGAAAATTTTTTTTTACAAAATGCATTTTAACGGCTGGGGAGCTAGTTCAGTGGCATAAGTGCCTGCCTGGCAAGTGCAAGGTCCCAAGTTCAATCCCTGGTACCGCTAAATAAATAAATAAAATAAAAAATAAGATGGATACTGTGGTCACAGGTAGTCAGGGACTGAGCCAAGAGGGTCACAAACTGGAGACCAGCCTGAACAATTTAACAAGACCTCGTGTCAAATGAAATTTAGAAGGTTGGTGAAGCAGGGAGTGGTAGCACACTTATAATCCTAAGAGGCCAAGGCAGGAGGGTTAAGGCGATTTTGAGACCAGGCTGGGCTCCATAGTGATTTCAAGGCCAGTCTGAGCTACACAATGAGACCCTGTCTCAACAAAGAGAGGAGAGAGAGAGAGAGAGAGAGAGAGAGAGAGAGAGAGAGAGAGAGAGAGAGAGAGACTGATGAATGTAGCTCATGGGAGGACATATGCCCAGCACGTGTGAGGCCTTGCTCAAGCCTTATGCACACACAAGTGTGTGCGTCCGTGCTGTGTGTGCACGGGAAAGGGCAAGCAAGTGGCTGTGCAAAGCGGGTATGCTAGAATCTCTGGGTGGAAGCTAGTGGTGAAGTCATGCCTGAGCACCATAAGATTCTCTGCACTGACTTCATGACTGATGCTTTTACACTACAGCATTTGGGAAGAAAACTGCGCAGAGTAAAGGAATCCAGACACAGAGGCTCACACTGCGTTTTATCTGAGCAAGCTCTGGCAACCCCAAGCGCTCACAGCGGCTGAGGCAGAGCAAGGAAGTGGTGCGCCTCGTGCCAGGGAGCCTTCAGAGCCACCGTCTGCGCCTGGAGCTCACTGCGGCTCTGCAGGTACCCTGGGCCCACCAGCCCCTGTCCTATCTCCCCACGCATGGAGCACGCAATGCGCACACCTGCCCTGCATGTGTGGAGTCTGTGCCTGCGTGTGCCACAGCTCTATCCCCTTTCCACCCCCTCCCCACCCCTGGTCCCATTGCTATTTGAGAATGCTCTCTCCCTGCCTCCTATTATCTATTTTTTAAAAATTTTGCTCTTTATTTTTACTCTGGATTTCTCATCTAAGAGATCATTATTTTTTTTAAAAAAGAGTGATCATATGGATGCTTAAGCTCGCATGTCTGGTTTATTTCACTTAATATTAGGGTCTCCAGGGGCATCATTTTCCTACATATACCTCAAGTATGTGTATCCTTTTCCATGGCAGAGTACTACTCCATTGTGTGTAAATGCCACCTTTTGTTTATCCATTCATCTGTTGATGGACATTCACGCTGCTCCCAAGATTTAGCTATTACATATTATGCCACCATAAAAATGGGTATGCATGGATCACTGCAAAATGTCTTCCCAAATGCTGGGATTACAGGTGTGCACCAGCATGCCTGGCTATAAAATGTCTTTAACTCAAGCGGCTAGGGAGACAGCTCAGCAGTCTAAGCACCTGCCTGGAAAGCACAAGAACCCAGGATTGATCCCTGGTACCACATACTGTGCTGGCCCCAGAACCCTGGATGCACCGTGCCAGCCACCGAAGCCAGCATGGTTAGTGCACACCCATAATCCCAGCACAGGGGAGGCTGAGACAGGAGGATCACTGCAGGCTGAACCATGTAGTGAGACCCTGTACCAAATAAATAAATAAATATTTTTTAAAATTTTAAGGAGGAGCCGGGGAATGGCTCAGTGGAATAAATGTG